AACATGATGAGAAAGATAATCGGTTTTTTTCCAAGCTTTACTTTGTATGTGATCTTGGTTATTTAGTTTTACAATTGATGAGAAAGATAAATTTATTATTTAAGTTTATTGGTTTTAATACTATCTATTAACATTAATCAGGTTGTTGATATACTTTTTTTATTATTTGTAGACAATGAAAGTGATGATGATGATGATCAGTGAATCTAACAAAGATGAAAGTGTTTGTTAAAATGAATCAATAGTTTATTGGTTTTATTGTTTTTATTTAACGTACAATGCAAAAACATTTTAATTTAGTTTGTTATTTGAAACTTGAAAACATTTTAGGTTTTGCTTTTTTTTTTAGTTGGTTTCTATAATATTTAATTTGTATGTGGGTACCCATATAGTTCATTTTGCCATTGGATTTCATATTATTGGGTTTGGATATATAAATTCAATTCATATAATAAACTGGTCGGGTCAAACGAGTTTTGGATTACGTATAATAATTTTCTCAATAACTATAGATAATTTTTTAACTATTATATTGATTTTACTCGGTAATCATATTATCCCACGAATAACGCGGATAATTTTCTAGTTTTTATTGATTGACATATAAAACTTTTTCACTTAATGTCTCCCAAATTAATATATAGAAAATTTCAATTTTGTGATTTTTAATAAATGAGAAATTTTAAAAAATGCCACTTTTCAAAAATGTCACCTTATCAAAATCTTTGCAAAAATATCACTTTTAAAAAAAATCATTATATCATTTATGTTTGGGTTAACTATGTTGTATTAGAGTTTAGTTTTGAGAGTTTAAGGGGTTTTAGGGGTCAACATTTTTTAGGGTTTATAATTTTAAAATGTAGGCTTTAAAAATTTATAATTAGTGGTAGTTTTGCAAATGAACATTTTTAAATGACATTCTTACAAATTCACCAGATGGAATTCACCAGATGGAAACAAAAAAAAAACTTTGAGTTTGAACCGAACGTAACTTTTCACACAATTGTCCAAAGACTCTAGTCGGGTCGACCCGCCCGCTCCTAACCAAAATAATAATACATTAATAAAAAAAAA